TTGATTGATTGATTAACTGGTTGATTAATTGATGGATGGATTGATTGATTAATTGGTTGAATGATTTAATTTTGTTTGTTTGTTTGTTTATTTATTTATTTGATTAATTGATGGATGGATTGATTGATTAATTGGTTGAATGATTTAATGATTAATTCAAAAAAGGAATGAACAATAAATTAACTACTTTATGTGCGCGATCGAGGCCAGCGGTCATAGAACAACTTTCATATGATTTGGCTGACGGGCCTTGCAGTGATTGGCCGGTACCTTGGCTAATTTAAGTGTTTTCATTGGATGAAATTTTTTTTCGTGCGCTGATTGGTTCCAAGGATGTCTTCAATTCCGTACCGTTCCGCGCCGTTTCATAATCGTGCGAAATCCACTGCAGATATTTTAACATTCGATTAAGGTAGCATTCTTATCGCATAATCATATATACATAGACACTTGAATTCTTTTGACTCCGGACGTACTATGACATAGAGCTCATCTACTCCAGTCAAAAAGTATATACATATCTACTCTTTCCTCACTCGATTACTGTAGACTGTACTGTAGTGATGTAAAAGTCGAAGTCCAACAAATAAGATGTAAAGTTCGTTTAAACAGCAAAAAATTTCATTAAATATACCTTTTTATTTGAACATGTTTTACATGCACTAAAACTGTATTGAATACACTAAAAGTCTGCAAGCTAAGGTTACTTCCACTTTGTACCTTAACTTGTACCTGCTTCCCTGCTTTGTTGTCAGCACCAGCTCGCCGACCAAATATAGCCGGAAGACTCTTTGCCAGAGATTGCTAATTGGCAAACCAAATTAGTTATTTATTTGAGAAAGCATCACATGATTCATCTTGCGATTTGCCTTTAGCAAAATAAGAGCTGTCTCCCCCCTCCCTCTGGTTACCCCCAAAGCCGCAGTGTATTATGGGTATGGGAAAGAAGAGAACAGGTTTTCGAGTGTGGAATATTTTTTACGAAGAATGTATGGTTACAGGGAACAAGTTTCGCTACTAACCGTACATTGTTTGTACATTTTTGACACTTTTGAAAGCCTGTAATCCTAATTTTTTCAAGGGAAGCGTACAAACTTGTCAGAATTACTAATCTTGAGTACAATATCTGCCTGTACAATATCAAAACAATTGGATCGTCATTCTACTCACACAGTCCTTTCAGATGGTCTCCACTTGTATTAACAAAGATATTTTGTTCAGTTCTTAATCTACCTTTCTCGATTAACTTTTTTTTTAACTGTTAAACTATTAACTGTTAATTTATAATACAGTTACTTCTATTAACACAAATCAAGAGCGTATGAGGTCCTAAATAGGGCCAGGGGCCGGGGCAAAAGAGAAAAAAAAAAGAAAAAAAAACCCGGATTCTTGTTGACAACTACCCGTTTCCTTCCTGGTCATTGATCATTTGCTATTATGTTACGCTTTACTTTGTCCTGCCAGTTGATTTCTTCCTGGCGATTGAATTAACATGTCACACGTCGCATGACACACTTCCTACTATACAACTTGTTTTGCATGCCATGGCCGTGGTTATTCCTTGATTCGTGTTTCTTGCACGGCCTCCTCCTTGCCATCTTTCTCTTCTACATTTTTCAAGTCGACGTCATTGCTTTGCAACTTCTCTTGTTTCTTGCTGTAATGCCAAGATAAAAAGTACCCGACACAGGACAATGCTGGAACATGGATGTAAGACTGACAGTTATAGTAATACCTTGATTTGGTTAACGTCTTAGATCAACTGAAAGAAGCGCTGACAAAATTAAGTGGGGGAATATTCGCGTGCATTACGTCATGCGCTGGCAGTTTTGCTTGTTACAATACATATCTTACATAATGCTCCAATACTCATTTTGCAGTTCCGTTCAGTGACCACGAATAATAGTTCCTAGCCGAGGCTGGAAATTCCGCGCATAGCAAAACTACAGCTTATCATGCGCGGTAACTCCAGCCTCGGCTAGGAATTATTATTCGTGGTCACTGAATGAAACTGCAAAATGGAGTATTCGAGTTCTCTGTACGTTGCTCAAGGTAAGTCTCGATTTGTTGTGGAATATTCACGTATTTTCGAATTTATGCGCAGTACTAGTACTGTTAATATTAGTAAAAAAACTTTGGCGATGAAATGGGACTAACCCTCAGTAACTAAAGCTGTAATCGAGAAACAAAGCGGTATTGTGTGTACGACAATATTCATGTATGAATCATTCCCAGCCTTACCGTACGTAGGCATTGCGGTACCCATCAATATCCAGCTTAGCGTGACGTGGTCATAATTTCGACAATTGCCATCGTTACCGCATTTTTCCTGCCACATGGTACACGTTGTGTCAATTATTCGACCAAATACTATTGGTCCTGGTAATGATCCAAGACTTCGAAGAAAAACGAATTGTAACCCCAAAGCATATGCTCGTTGGTTATCAGGAACAGATCTAAACCACAAAAACATTTAGTTATTGGTAGTTAACGTTATTTTTCAGTTCTTAAAGTGCTTATAAGCCTTTGCACAATATTTTCAGAATTGATACTTTAGATAGTGAATAGTTGATTGTG